GTGAGGGGGCGGGTAGAGGGAGGGGGAGCTGAAGGCCCAGACACTGCCCGGGGTGGCAGGAAGGTGCAGTGAGTGCCCGGCTGGGGAGCCGCCGGAGTTATTTCTATGGGAGGGAGGGGGCCTGGTCCCCGCCTTGGGGAGGAGTCCCGGGAGCCCTAATTAGCGGGGTGACAGGGTGGCCTACCCAGGCATTACCCAGCCCTCACCCAAGCTCTTCCCTGTCCCGAGAGTGGCGCAGGGCAGCCAGCGGGACTTGTAATTAGGCACCTGTTAAACTCCACTTCCTCCTGGCCACGTCCTCGGAGTGACAACAGTCACCCCATTTATGGCTTCCACGAGCTCCCCTCACCACTCATTTGCTGTCTCCTTCCCTGGGGGAAGTGGGGAAGAGGAAGGAGAAGCCAGACTTGGAAAGAAGAGGAGCCAGGACCCGAGAGTAAACACTGACACCTCCCCCCCAGTGCAGGCTTCAGCATCCAAGTCCCAGCCTGACTCCCACCATGGGCTGAGATCTGTGAGAAAGGGCACCAGGGAAGGCCCAGGAAGATGAAAGGGACCCAGGAATGCCCAGCCCGCCTTCCCCTGAGGCCTCTGGCCTTTCAAAGGGAGTCAGGAAATAGAAAGATAGGGGTGTATGCAGGAATAGAGTCTCCCCTGGCGGTCCCTCTGGAATTGTGCCCCCCCCACACACACCTAATTCAAGACCACCTTGAGTGCAGGGTCCCCTAGGAGCCAGGGATGTTGTAGGAGATCCAGGGTATGTGAAAGGCTTGAAGTGAGTGGACAGGAGTGAGGGACTGTCAGAGGGGTCAGTGCCACGGGGACTGGAAGCGTGAGCCTGTGTGAGTGTGTGCACCCCTCACAGGGATGCGGGAGGGGAAACAGAGTCTATCTGTTGAGCAGGGCTAAGCCCCTCTGTGTGTTCTTCCTTGAGGGATCGCTTGGTGTCCTGGCTTCTATGTATAGGAAGTGTGGACAGACCTTGAAATAGGTTAATGCGGTCCCAGTTCTAACTGGGTTCTTGAGACTAAGGACTCTTGTAGCCTGAATTGGCCATCAGGGTGGCTAAGCCAGCACAGTTCGAGGCAGGTTGGAGCTGGGAAGGGGAGGGTCCTTGAAGGCATGGGCAGAAACTGGAGGGCCAGTCCTTGCTGGCTGGTTCACAGGGGACAGAACAGGCCTGGGCCTCTCCTGGGCTCCAGGACTGCTCCTCACACAGTGGTGATCCCCCTCCATAGCTCAACTTCCTCAAAAGAGTCAGGAGCTAACCCCCTCTCCTCACATGGGGCACAGGAAGGGCAGGGGGGAAGAGCCTTGGGGAGAGTCATGGGGCTCAGGGATACTGCCAGAGCCCACCCCTCTGGGAAAAAGAAGACAGACGAAGGAAGTGCAGGGAGTCCACACATCTCACAAGAACAACAGGGAGCTCTAGGGTCCATCAATTGTACACAATGAATATCCATATTTCCTTATTTATTTTTAGGTTTATGGAATTGTCCTGCACCCTCTGGAGAGCAGGGATTATTACTCTGATTTTACAGATGAGGAAATAGAAGTCTGGAGAAACATGGGGATTTGGCTCAGGGGACATCGCTGGCACCTGACTAAGAGACGGACGCCCAGGCATCCTGGCTCTTAGTCTAGAGTGGGCTAAGAAAAAGGTTGGTGACTCTGTGGGCTACTCGACCCACTCATGAGAAAAAAGCATGGAAGGTCAGTGGTGGGTGGAGGAAAAACTGGTGGGACCAGAAAGAAGGAGTCCGAAAAGAAAGGAACAAGGCTGGAGTGCAGGCTTGGGCTTTAACTAGGCTCTGGCCTTGAGCTAATGTCAGAGCTGGGGTGAGGTTTGGAATCAGTTGAAAAGATGAATGAGGTTGAAGCCAGGTTTGAGGTTGAGATTAGAGTTAAGGCTGGGATTCGTGTTCGAATGACAGCTAGCACAGAGGCTAAAATATATGGCCGGCGTTTGTGTTATGATAAAGAATTTAATTTTAGTTTCATTTACAGCTATGCTTGGGAATACGGTTAGGGCTAAATCAAAGACTGGATTGAGATTGATTTAGGATTGGGATTGGGTTCGAATTAAGTTTGAGATTCAAGTTGAAATAGGCTGTGGTTTGAGTTGGAACATGGAACATGGATCAAAGATATGTGAGCAGAGGAATTCAGGAGGATCAGAGATGAGGTTTTATTTATGATCTAGAAAGACCTCAGCCTCTATCTGTTACATCAGGTTTGGCTAGAACGTCCAGCCCTCAGTTTGGGGAGGGTATCAGGGGCACATGTTGATTGGGATCCCAAGACTCTGGGGAGGGATTCCAACATGCACGAGCCCATCTGAGGGGTGTGAGGCAACTTAGTCCTAGAACAAATGGAACCTCTGAAGTGCTGTTCTGCTAAAGCTCACCACCTGGCCAAGCTCCAGGAAAGGCATTTGGGGAGGGAATGAAGGAAACTTGGCAATGAGTGGGCCTCTGACGCGAGACTGACCCAGAAGATGGGGGCCATCGGAGGGAGTCTTGCTGGGGGAAAGTCTGGTTTTGCAGTCCAGGAGATAGGAGTTGGGAGAAACTGAGGGCCTACATTCTCCTAGAAGAACAGCCACTTTTGAGGGTACCATGAGGGGCGTCTCTCAAAGTCTGAAAAGGCAGAGCACCCTTGTTGCTCCCCCTTGACCCACTGAGGGCTAGCTAAATGCCATCTCCTTGCAATGTGGGGCCTATAAAAAAATCTGTCAGCCTGCCTGCCCCATGCCCTGAGCCCTACAGGGTTTTTGGTGGAATGAGGGGTATCAGCTTAGTTTTCATAGAATAGGCTTAGCCCACAGTCCACTCCCACTGGGACCAGCCCACAGCCCATGGATCTCACAGGGCCTCATCCTAAGCAGAGGAGAAGGATTCCACTCTGAGCAGGCCCCCACCCCAACTTCTTTTTCTCCTTTGTTCCCACCCAGTCTCCACCCCAAACATCCCATTTCTCCGCCCACTTCCTTTTCAGGTCCCATAAAGTTCTGGACAGATCCAGGAGACTACTGGGGTTTCCTCCGTGCCCCCAGGGAGAGAGACAAAGAGATTGGGAGAGATAGTGACTGAGTTAAGAGGCACAGACAGAGACACACATGGCATCCAGATGGCCCATCCAGAAGTTCAGAGAGAGCAGAGGAAGCAGAGGGCACAGGTCATGATCTGGGCCCCAACACACACATTTCCAAAAGGGATCCTGGCTTTTTCCTGAGAAGTCCATGACTTTCCAGCGGATAATGGCCCCAATTTGGGTGGTATTTGCTTCTGTTCTAAGACAAAAATAGAAAATGAGACAGAGGCCTGGAAAGGCATGCACAGAGACATAGAGGAGACAGGAAAAGGCAGGACAAGGACCCAAAGAAGCCAGAGACTGCTTGTGGAAGGGGGCAGCCCACACAGTCCCCATGTCACCACTTGTCAGAACCTTTTCCATGGCCCGCCTACACTCCCTCCAAAGTCCCCTTCACAGTCACCCACCCAACTCCTCGAAGCCCTGTCTCCCCACCTCCCACCTGGGCCTGCCCACCCTGGCCCATCTCCCCAACTCCCCGACCCCAAGCTCCCCACTTGACCCTTTCTCCACTCCTCTCCACATAGTCAGCAGGCTCTCAGCCCCTCTGCACATCCCTGGGTAGGGCCAGGCTCACCCATGCAGCACCTGGGAGGAGTTGCCCAGAAGAGGCACCACTGAGGAAAGAGTCTGTGAAGAGCTGTAAGCCACTGTGAATAGGCAGTGTCCCCAAAGCTACAAAGAAGACAAGGAGTCATGCCGCTTTCAGTGAAGATGTGGAGGTGCCGATCTGCAGGTGAGGCCTTGGTTGGACGAGGGGGCGGGGGGCTCAGAGGCGGCACACGTGGTGAGATGGGAGAACGCCATTCTGATGGAGAAGGGTTAGCGTTAGCTGCAGAGAGGGATGACATCCATGTGCGGGGTCAGAGACAGGCTCAAATCAAGGCTGGCACACAAGAGCTTTGGGCAATGGTGGCCCAGCCCCTGCTCAGGTTTTCCGAGTCTCAGTGGTTCCTGCTGGTACACTTCAGATAAACAGGAACGCTTGGAGGAACCTAGATGTGCCACACCTCTCCCATCAAGTGATATCCTGATGCTGACCAGACTCAAGAGCAAGCAGCACACATCGTCCCCGTGTCACCACTTGTCAGCAAAGCACAAAAGCAAAGGGAGGTTGGTTGAATGTCATCAATGAAACTGACATCAAGAGAATGAGTGGAGGAGACAAGAAACCGCTGGTAAGGAGTATGTGAATTTCTGATGATGAGGAAGAACGAAGAGACCTTGAAGACAAAAGGCATCTTTCCCTCTCCAAGATCAACCACATCCTGCAGAACCTGCATTCGTTCAACAAACACCCAGGCTCTGTGCAATGCCCTAGGGAAACAAAGATGAAGGAGGCTCAGTTTCTATCCTTTCAGAATTCTGTTATCTCATGGGGAAGGGGTACCTAGCCCACAGTGTGACAAGTCATGGC